TCTCTTTTCTGTAAAAATATGTTTTCTTTGGATTTTGCAGACTTCCCATATTTTTTCACATTTTCCAGGTGTACAATAGCATTTCCACAGCTACTCCTCACTGCAAACATATGCACAGAGTTTGGCAGCTCCACTGTACAGCACATGCATAGAAAGTCTAAGACAGCATCACTTAAAAATTCTGGGAAAGGCTGGGGGCACTGTATGGGCTTTGTACAGCACACCTACTTTTTACAGGAAATCTTACCCAATATCTAAGCATCTGAGCTGTAGAGTAAAAGTAGGAGAGAAACAGCCAGATTTCCTTCAAAATCAACATATTCCAAGACAAGTGGAAAATGTCATCACATCTCGAAATTCATAAAATAAAAAAGCTTTAATTAACAGTGTTTTTGGGCAAATGAGAATGGAGGTGACAGCTCGATAAGGAAAGTGATCTGCATGTATGTATTGACGTGTGCAGAAATCACATCTACATACACACCCCCACACGAATTTGCCTGCCAAGGAAAAGGAAACATCTCTTCAAATTCAAGGTAAGGCTACATGACTGACAGATCCTTTCTGGAAGGGACATGAAAGCTTTATTCTAATCATTTACTCCTCTGTCCAAAGGTTGGAGACCGATAATACATTTTCTGATGGTCACTGAAAGTAATGTTCAAATTTTAAAAAAGGTGGGAGAAAAAAAGGAAGAAAACTTTTCCCCATGGTAATAAGAAGTGTATAATTAATACTATGTAATTCTGAATTCTGTATTTAAGTGTATAATTAGTTCAGTGGCCAACTCTCCTGACACAGACTGTCATTTTTCAGGGCAGACTTTTTTTAATTATAATATAAAGTACAACGCACAATGAAAACCTGAAGTTTACCTAATAGTGATAATTTTGAACTTGCTGCTAACTACAGAAGATGGAATCTGCAGTTAAGGTTCTATAAAAACATAAATTCAGTGCCTAATAGTAATTTGAAAATATGAACATACTGTATAAATCCCTGGTGACCCCTATATTTTTAATACTGTGGGCTCTTCAACCTTTCTCATATAAAAATGGAGATAAAACTAAAAAGGTACAAAGGAAGCCAGTGATGACCAAAGCTGGGTCTTTAGCCCGGTCCAGTATGGCCACTGTTGCTGTTGCATATAGGAAATACACAGACTAACAGGAGTCAAAATTCCAGATAAGCATCATTAAACTTGTGCATATTCTAAACCAGTTAGTCTACCTAGTCATTCATACCCTGCCTTATAGGCTATTTCAAAATTAACTACAGTCCTTGGCATATCAAGCAAGGGAACCAAAAGGAGGAATACACCATTTCTGTGTTTCCCAAGGTTCTGAAGCCTTCAAAAGAATTACCAAAAATATGGCCAATACTGAAAGCATGTGTAGTGACCTAACACTACCTATTACTTATTTTTACTTAACACAGAGAAAGAGGTAGAAACAAACAAAAAGCAGAAAAGAAAGGCAGAAACAGTATTAAGAAATGCAAAACGCAAGGAGTAATAATTGTCCTCTCTCCTCTGCCAGTGTAGATCAGGAACTCTGTCATTCACTGTGCTCTGACAAAATTACACTCGGCCTGGAATAAAAGAGAATTCAAACAGGTGACTGAAAAATGCCTGACTGAGCTAAACCTGAGCTCCTGTCCTGTAAATTAAGTAGCTCCTCTCTGCAGTCTAACAAGAAACTGTGGTCGTTTAAGCCCCTTGCAGGATTTTTAATCTTGGGTTTTTAATCATAGCACCTTACAATTAGCAAGCAGGCACTTAGTTGCTCAATCTGTTTCATTCCTTAAAGTTGTGTACCTCATACTATTTTCTCCAAAACTTACATAAATTAAAATGAACTCAGAAAAATAACTGCATCCTATCTTCAACTCTGACAAAGTCACTGAAGTTTACCACAAATTAATATGTAAAAAGAGACTATAGTTCTGAGAACAACACAGTAAGTCATGTTGCTGTGCACTAACATTATGTTAATTTTGAGTCTTGAGCAGTAAAGCAATGCCCAAAACATTTCTGTCTTTGAGAGTGACAAAACTTAGCTTTGAGTTCAGCATCTGAACATCAAGAGCAACATTTTCCAGTTAGGTTTTAGCCACATTATCTAAAATGAAATTTTACCCTAAAACCCAGTAATTGAAGTCGCACATCTAAAATTCCAAAAGATACTAGAAAAGTACCCACATCCTCAAGGACCTCTGCATCAAGAAAGACTAATAAAGCCATAAACTGGTCCAAGAAGTAGAAGACAGCACCTTAGATTTAGGGAAATAAATAAATAAATAAATAAATGTAGAGGGGGAAACTCCTGCCCCTTACCAATCACATTTGAGCAGACTTCTGCTCATAAGCTAAGGTGCTAATGACACTGCCTGGGCAGCTGCAGATAGCTGAGAGCTTACTGGATCAGCAAAGCCCCAAAGCCCCAACCAGCTGGGAAGGATGGCTGTCTGCTGAGACACAGAGCAGCTAAGGGAGCATAATACCTCACTGGCCATGACTTGCAGCACTACTGCTGTTCTCTCTGTCACCCCATTTTTCAGTGTTATTCTTGGTTTACGCAGAGATGTTTCGCCTGTCAGTAAGGCAGCCCTTACTGAATCAGTTTCCCACAGCAAGATGTACTGAAACACTCTGAAATCAGAACAGAACCCTTGCCATGTCATTTAAGAGACACTGAACAGAAGTACCATCTTTTTTCATCCCTTGCCCTAACCTACTTTTCAGGAAGAATTGCAAGGTATGAAAATCTTTTATGTGCACGCATGTGGCTTTTACCCTGCCACTAGTCAGCCACAGTCTGCACCCTGCCATGTCAAGCTATCGATAGAACCCGAGTGCCAAACGAGCAAGAGCAGTCAGACCCATGTCACATGGACAGAATTATCCAGTTATCCTCGTACTGTGTCAAAGCATCATCCATCCTAACTTCTACCTGCTTGACACAGGTTTAGAACACCAACGTCTGAATCCAAGGCAATTTGTGACAAAAGGGATCTGGACAAACTATTCTTACAGGACACTCAAAGTGTAACAGGATCTTCTCTTCAGGGATACCTTTCTGCAGCTCTGTTTTCTTTTTTTTTCTTGCTTTAAACGCATTTCAAAAATTGGAAATGAGGAAGTACAATTTGTCTGCAACTCATCTATAACTTTGATGCTGCAAAGAGGAGACATTTCTCCTGTGTAAGAAATAGAGCCCTCACCTGTAGACACTACCTGTAACGATGGAAAAGTGAGACATGGATGAAACCTTTAAACTTCTGTTCCTACTGCTGGCATTATTAGCGCATTTGCCCACAATAAACTAGACTGAGACATCCAAATGAATCTAATCTGTGCTACCATAAATTCACCAAATGGCTGTTCTAATTATTATTGTAGCCTCCCTTCTCTCCCCACCTCTGCTTCAGAAAATCAAGATTATATATTTCATTTTCTCAATAAATAGCAGTCAATCTGTAACCAGATGCTCTGTTCAATTACAGCCAAGTTAGGAGGTTGTCCTTCAGCTGGCCATCACCGTAGGGTCTCCCCTCACCTCTACCAGGCTCTTCTTCAGCCTTACTGGCACAATGGCATCCATGCTTACTCCCTAACCTAGTTCTGTCAAAATGTTTTGGTTGAGTTTAAGAACTGACTATTGAAAGTGTTTAAGCCAACCTAGATCAGTTTGACAGAACCAGGCTGTTGAACAACTACATGTGCCGTTACACTGGCAGAACTGAGGAGGCAGCAAGTTATGAAGACTGGAAAAAAGAAAAAGTAAAATGCAAAGAGAACATGTACCTGGCTGCAATTCAGTATTGTGGTAGTGGGCTTTTGCTACGCTACACATCTTTGCCCAAATTTCCCTCAACTACTGAAAATAATTTTCTGTACTTGCCCAGCTTCTTGGAAGTTTCCATGAGAGCACAGGACCAAACATCACCGGTAACAGTGGGTACCAATCTGGAAAATTACATTTTGGCTTTTTTTTTTTTTTCCCCCAGCTCTGCCTCCATCTCCTGGTTGCAAGTGAGGAGTTCAGGTTTCTCTCTAGTGACATGTTGAGAATGGTACTTGGCAGGGTGAAGCCCCAGTGAGAAACTCTGCATGCACTTACAAATAGACCCAACTTCATAAAGGCTGAATACAAAAGGTCCAAGTCAGGCTGTATTACAATAACTGAAGTGAAGCCTCATTTTGTTTGAGCACATCAGGAAGAGCCTTTTGGGAACAGAACCACTGCCAAATGGCTCTCCCACCGAGTAGCTGCTTTGGATGAGAATAGCTCAGGGAAGGCAATATCCAGTACTGAAAGGAAGCAAGCAGGACAGAGCAGAGCTGAGAGAAAGGCTTCTGGGTAGAGCTGCTCTATAGGCCAAGTAAGGGGCTGGCTTTCATAGCCAAAAGAAAGCAGAGAGCAAGAGAAAAGCCCTTTGTGATGCTCCATGGTGAGCCAGTTGAAAAGCCAGCTCTTTCACCCAGCATGCTCCCCTCACCTGTTTGATTCCTGCTACTCGTACATGGCTCTGCAATTGAGGGCAAGAGCTGGAAAACAAAAAATACAACCCAAAAATACATTTTTTCCATATTAAAAATAAAATACTGAAGCCATTGTAGTAGTAAACTGTGGAAACATTCTCCTCATAAAATTTTATCACCTTCACTAAGCCCAGGGAGACCTCCTCTCTGTAAGTGAACTCTTACACTCCTGTAAGCTTTAAGTGATTATGCTGAGAAAGATTTGGCCCATAAAAGTAACCATGGAGAAGAAGAGATGAGGTCAAGCCTATAAAAACCTATGAAAACTTAGACTTCATCACATAAGGAAAATAACTGCTTGAAGACTAGGACCAGTATGTGCAGCCAGGCAGGAGAAGCACCTGCTAAAGCTTCACCAGGCTCAGCAGGGCTTGGTGAAAGGAGACATCCTGGCCTTTCTCCATCTCACAGGCACTGCAGGGAATAAAGACATTTTAAAGAACATGAATTGCCTTACCACTTCTGGAAGCACCTTCTTCGCAAGATCGTGGATGGCTTTGATCACAATACATATAGATGACAGAAGGAATATGACACCCAGGATAACACAAGCCCTGGGAAAAAAAAGAGGAAAATAAAAATGAATGTTAAGAACCTATTTAGATTTGTCAGCTCTCCCACTGCTGAAGGATAACACACAAGGGAATATTAATAATATTTTTTTTAAATCTTAAGAAACTGGAGACATGAATTAAAGAAGAGAATTAAAATAAAAGTCTGGGTCCTCTCCAGTTCTTAAAACTTGGATTACATATGCAAAGATAGGGCAGACCAGATGATGTTTCAGAGAGAGAAAAACATCCCTGTTTTGCTCCTTATGATTTATCACAGAGTCCTTTAGAGATCTGTTTCTCTTTGTTTGTTTGTTTTGCTAGGATCTCACATTAGATATAATCAAGGGAAATTCATTCTCTTTACCCAATCAGGACAGATGTTTGATAAATCTGGTCAGTAGCATGAAGGAACCTGAAACATCTGGTTCCTTCCCAAGTCTCCAAGTTTAAGATTTTAAGTTCAGATATTTAAAAGAAAAATCAGCAGGTCAGATGTGTTGCTTTGCAGGCTGTGCAAGGGTCTCTTAATATGTACATAAGGATCGGAGTCTCATGAGATTAGGTGCTGTGCAGGATTAGACACTCTGTCACTGCTCTGCAGAGTTTACAATCCGGTCTTATAAAAAGCAAATAAATGGGTTAATTAAGAGACGATAAAGTAACAGAGAATAATTAAGTTTTGTATAGGACACAGGCACGATGGAGCTTAACAAAGCACTTTATGCATATCCAAACTTCACAGTAAAAAAAGAAAACTCTTGCCTTTGTTCAAACATAGAGACTCTCTACAATACAGTACAATAGTACACTGAAATAGAATTCCAAATTATAAAATATTACATGATATAAGGCTTTGATTTCCTCTACACAAACAAAAATTGTCAGTCTATTACAGTATTGATATATCCATAATTCCATTTTACTAACAGCTCTTCATATAAAATTCTATTACTATAGATAGCTACAAAGTGAGAGCAATTTTAATGTTTAAAGCACGAAATAGTGAAGAAGTGATATCTATATGTACTTTTTTTCCTTCAAAAATTGTATTTCCTTTGTTTGTAATTCATCATTTGCTACCTATCTGTTAGCTCAGCTCATGGATGCTATAATTATTCCAGCAGCATGCTACTATTTTCAACAACTCAGACATCAGGCCATCTGGTGGTTGGCAGCACATGTAATGTTCACATCAAGCTCAATCTAGAGACTGCAGCTGAACTGCCTCTGCTCTGCCTAGGTCAGAAGGTGTAACTGCAGCAGTGGCACAGGCGAGTAGCTGGTTATTTTATTCCCTGACACAAGCAACACCAAACCACTGTGGATAATCCACAGAATCCTCTAGAAAAGTCCTCAGTAAGGGAGCTGCCCTTCCACAGAGGAGCACAGACCACTCACAGAGGCTAGCACCCTTCCTAGCAACAGAGTGGCATCCTGGATGAGGCGCTCATCTCAGGTAGGCAAAACTGTCACAGCTATTTTATGAGAGATGTTTAACTCCTTTGTGGTAAATTGTGAGACAACCCTCACTCTTGTTAAGCATAACCTCTTGTAAAAAGTAGGCAGAGCAGTGATTATCCTAGAGTCCTTCCCCTAGACTCAAACACAAGAACAAAAATCTGGCCTGTCACCTGTGATAGAGGAAGAAACTCTCAGGATGGATTCTCTGCAATCCTGCAGCAAGGGGTGATCATTAAAGGGTCATATGGATGGGAGGAATGTTCACCTTCCAAAAAGAATTAGTCAGTTTGAAAATTAGTGGGCTTTACCTTTTCCATTGCATCTTTGCAAGCAGGTCCCTGTTCTGCAATAGATTATTTCCAGAGATTTGCAGTTTCACTCTGTTTAAATGGATCACTGCATAGAGATCTGTCTGGAGCCTCTTGACCTGTTTTGGTTAAACTCAGAACTTTTCAGTACTGCTTTTATGTATTATTTCTACAGTATTTAGCACTGCCATAACCTAAAAAGCATATACTGCACACTCCTTCCCAGTAGATTCTGTTGCAACCATTATTTCATGGTTTCGGATGAGGTACAGAAACATATACTAAACGTTCTGCTCATTTACCTGGGACAAGCACAGATGTCAGGTGACTTGGACACAAAACTGGTCCACAAAAGTTGGCTGAGTTGCCTAAGGGCATTTGCTGAGCCAGTGACAGGTTGACATAAGATACATACACTTCATGCAAGAATATGCTGACATTTCATCTGAAAGCAACACTGACAGAAAAGCTTTCCTGTCATTCCCAGGAGGCTCAAACCAACAGAGCCACGAATCCATGAGTTGGAAGAAATAGATTAAAGATCCTTGTGCCAATAGGTATTGTGAATATTGAGAGTATGGGGAAGAGAAGAAAGCAAAGCATCATCTCCTTCCCCTAACATACATTGCATGCCCTGCACACATCTGAGGAAGATGGGCAAACATCCCCTAAGGGACTGGCAGGAGCCTTGCTGGCACAAGGCTAATGTGTGCAGGGCACCAGTACTTGTTCTGACCACTGGCTGGATTTGGTTCTTACATATATTGGAGAGTTTCTTATATCTCTGTAAACTCCCCAACACCCCCAGCCTAACAGCAAATATTTTTGCATCTTTGCCTATGCCAGCAGGTAAGAAATGACTTCAGCAATATTGAGCTGCTTCTCTTATTCCCCAGATCAGTTTTAGTGTGTCAAAAGAATTCCCATACACCTACTTAACTAGAAATAGCTAGAAGAAGAAAGAAAAAAGGAAGATAATAAAAGTGGCAAGGGTATTAATAGCAGACAGAAATGCAGTCTGAGGTTTGAAACAGCATTCAGCCATCACATTTAGCAAGCCCAGCTTCTCCTTTATATGCTGGCTTCTGGAATCCATAGCCATGCAAAATTCATGAGTAGTGGCATAGTACTTTAAGTGCAAAAATACACATTTCTTGTCTTCTTGAGTATATCAGCTTATCTGCAAAAACACTAGGAAAAAAAAAGCATACTGTCTTCTTTCAAACTCATTTGCCAGAAAAATAGTTTCTACCTAGACTACAAATCTACAGAATAAGAAACCTCCAAAAATTAATCTGAAATTCTAATTGTAGTACATCAGAAACAATTGTAATTGGTTATTGTAAGCTTGCCTTATTTTCAAGCCATTACACAATGAAAACTTTAGTTCAAGCCTGCTAACTTCCATCTGCTAACAATTACTCAACTGTTTTGTAACTCAATAGTATTTCCAACAGCACACAAAGGGTGCTGGTGCCAAAGTTGTTTGGCAAATGCAATTTCATTAATAACATTCAATTACATTAGATGAGCCAACTGCCAATTCTAAACAAGTTCAAGTCAACTCAGAAGTACCCATAAAAATTAATGCAAGAGGAGTTACAGAGAAGTGATGTTTGAGTGAAAACTGGAGATTTTTCAGATAACCCTGGCTTGCAACCACCACAGTGTAACAAATGCGCCTCAATTTCCAGGTCCCCTATGATCACTGCCAGCAACTCAAGATACTCTGGAGTAGTGGTCCACCTAATGCCCTCATATTCCAGAACTTTGGTATCTTCTTGCTAAGACATGCAGGTACTCTGTCCAGTGACACCCATGATGAACACATCTCCACATATCATATGCCACCAGTACCACCTATTTAACACCTCCAGAAGCTAGTGGTGATCGTGTACTTATTTTACAGCCATTTCTACATGAGTTAGTAAAAGAGCTTCCCACTAAATATCTACTGCATTATTAGAGATATAGTTGGTCTATAACACAAAAAAATTGATCACTACATATTTGACAAAGAACAGAAAAGATCTAACAAGAAGCACATGAATCTGAAATCTCCTTCAGTTCCATGTAATATATTGCTTCTAAAAAGAACATGAACACAGACCACTTAGTCAAAACATTCTAAACCATAATGCAAAACCATGATTCTATCTTCAGGAACAATAAGCTTTCTGGAGTCTTCCAGAACGCAGTATAATTTAAAGAATGATAGACTAATTCAGAAAGGACAAGGTGAAGGGATCTCTCTGATATTCAGGCAGTAATCAACTTTTAGGTCAACCAAATCTCAAACTTCCAAAGGTTTTTCTTCTTAGAGCAATGGCACTTGGAAGGAAAAAGTAATTACAGCTGTATTATTAGAGTTGTCAGTAAAAAAGAATTTAATATTAGAATTTTAGCAGTGAAACCACCAGGTAGCAGATCACAGAATCATAGAATGAACAGAATCATTAAGGTTGGAAAAGACCTCTAAGATCACCAAAGCAAATCGTCGTCCAACACTACCATGACCATTAAACTATGTCCCCAGCTGCCACATCTACACATTTTTTTGAACACCTCCAGGGATGACGACTCCACCACCTCCCTGGGCAGCCTGTTCCAGTGCCTCACTACTCTTTCAGTAAAGAAATTCTTCCTAATATCCAATCAAAACCTCCCCTAGTGAAACTTGAGTCCATTTTCTCTCATCTTTTTGCTAGTGACCTGGGAGAAGAGACCAACACCCACCTCACTACAACCCCCTTTCAGATAGTTGTAGAGAGAAATAAGGTCTCCCCTCAGCCTCTTCTTCTCCAGGCTAAACAACCCCAGCTCCCTCAGCCTCTTCTCATAAGGTATGTTCCCCAGACCCTTCACCAGCTTTACTGTCCTTCTCTGAACCTGCTCCAGCATCTCGATGTCCTTCTTATCCTGTGGTGCCCCAACCTCAACAAAGTACTCAGGCTGTGGCCTCACCAGTGCCAAGTACAGGGGCATAATCACTTCCCTACTCCTGCTTGACACACTATATTTGATACAGACCCACTGAAGGCAATTCTTGATATGTTTTTAATGCAGTATTTCTATCTGAAAATCCAGAAAGTAATATAAAGTATAAGTCATTGTATTAAAATTTAAAACTCCTCAATTTTGTCAGCTTTTCAATGTAGTTTTGTCACAGAAGAAACATACTGTTAAATCAGTTGTATTCCAGCCCCAGGCTTTAAGAATGAAATTATTTGG